CTAAATATTTATTAAGGTGCATTGGTATTTTACGAACAGTCGTGCATAACTTGCTTTCGCCTGTTCGTTTTACTTCACAATCTAGCACTGCTAATTCTCCTTGTTCACTTTTTAACCCAAATGTTAATTTTATTCCCTCTACTATTGGATTTATGTGTGTGTGTGTGGAGAAACCGCTCTAATAACAAGAATGCAGCCATTTGATAACCCAACAGTCAGTTTGAGTTTCAGCAAGCTTGTTTAACAGAATGTCCGTAGGTACTGAGTCGAAAGCAGATGTGTAATCTAGGAAAGTGCAGCGCACAAGTTTAGCCCCCTTGTCTAAGCTGGAGACAATGTTATGATACAGGACTGCAGCTGCATGTAAAATACTTCTACTGTGTTTGTAGGCGAATTGTTTAGGATCGTTAAAGGCTTTAAGTGAAGGTTGAAGATTAATTAAGAGTAACTTTTCCATAGCTTTTAGAAAAGGGGAAGTAATAGCAATGGGTCTAAATTTAAAACATGTTGCAGTAGACGACTTAGGTATAGGTACAATTTTAATGTCCTTCCAAATGGCTGGCACGACATTTTTGGAAAAAGATTCGTTAAATATGTCCATGAGAGGATAACACAGGATATCTGCACACTTTTTAAGAATAACACTAGGCAAACCGTCTGGACCCAGGCTACAAGAAGGGTTCAGAGACTGGAGACATTTTAGAACATCATTTGTAGTAAATCCAGGGAAGCAGGTTTCATTAACACTTGTAATACTAGAAAGTTTGGGACTTGTGGGAGAATGTATGAAGGACTTGTTTCGTGTGCAAACATCAAGGGAATACGGAATACTGTTCATCTGCTTGCCACCAGTAATTTCTTTGAAAAGTTTCCATATGTTAGACGCATTTTTACAGGATATGAACTTTTGGTTGTAAATTGAATTCAATCTGTGCATTTCGGACTTTATTAAGATGTTAATTCTTTTCAAACTAGTATTATCCTTCATTTTATGTAACTTTTTTTTGTCTGCGAAGCTTTTTAAGTAGAGGGGAGGAGAAACGGTCAAATCTGATGAAAAGTGTTTCTCTGGAACAACAGGTGTCAAGACAAAATTTGAGATAACTTGTAATATTAGAGATTGTGTCATCAAGAGTGTCTTCTTTAAACAGGTCCCACCTTGAATCTTTGAGCATGCTTCTGAGGTTCTGAACATTCTCCATAGAGTAACATCCATGTACAGTTTTCTTGGAAAAGTGTGAAAAAGATCTCTTGGGTAATTTTCCATAAATTTTGGGTGAATCCCGTACAATACAATGATCTGAGTCAAAGAGTGAGGCTCTTTTACGAATGAATGGGAAGCGGCGAGTCGGTCGTCAGTTCGAGGGTGGGTGACTTGGAGGAGTTTATGTGAAGAGGAGATGAAAACGTGTGGGCAGACATGGAGCCAGGTGAAAACTCTAGCAGAGAACCGAACGCAATGGAGACGCACGGCTGACGCGCTATGTTCCTCTAGTAATTAAAGGAAACAATAATAATAATAAAGCTATAATTCTGAAAGGTGATAAAGATTTAGGTGAAAGGAGAAGTTCATCACCAAACACATGCACTAGGAATGAGTTAACGCTAATATTATTCAGTGATTGGACAGTTCTGTAGCCCAGTAGCCTGCAAGCTAGTAGTCATTCATAAAACCGGCTGCTTATTTCAACCAATGGGCAGATAAGTGCCCTTTTCCTCAAAAAACTATATTTCACCGCTTCAAATAGTAACAGTCTAGCTCAAAATAAAGAAGTTGTAACCTTTACTACCGCAAACAGATTTTATTTCTTAGGGTAATTTTAAAAAGTCAAAGCAAATTCTTTTAATTTAATATTGTTTAAATGAATGTGACATGAAGGGATTTACAAATGTACAATATCTTGTGATCCGTGATTTTCAGTTTGAAAGATTCCATAAACCATTTCAAAATTATTATTATTTCCTTCATTTCTTTTAAAGAAAAACAATTTACACCACTTTAGATATCATTTTTAGTGTTTATCTATCAGTTGACAATCAGAAGACAATAAAATCAAAATATTATATATACAGCTTCTTTTAAATAAATAATTCCCACATTTATTCCTCAATATGTCAATTAATTGGTTGTATTGATCATTGAACATTGAAACCTTAAGTAGCGCGCGTAAATCAGTCAAACGAAGAGGTTTATACAGGTAAAGGTATGTTAAATGACACGAACTGGGAACTTTTCACTGAACACACACTGGATGATACTATTTCCAATCTGACTGACTACCTTAAATTCTGCCTTGATGTATGCTGTCCAAAACAGATACTTTTCAAAAGAATGGACCGTTTCTCTTCCCCTTATCTCAAAAAGCTTCGAAGAGAAAAAGAAAGACTGTACAAGACTAAGGATAAATCTGGTCTTAGGAGGATAAACATTCAAATTAAATCCGAAATCAAGAGGCTAAATAATATTTATAATCAAAGAATTTTGTCATGAAAAAGTCAAGGGAACATGTGGAAGCTTTTCAGAGAAATTACAGGTTGTGGTAATCATAGTACTTGTGCCCTGTCTATTGACGTGAATACTCTTAATAGATCTCTTATCCGCCTTCCCAATGTAACTTTTAGCTTCAATGTAACAAATAACATGACCAGTGACTTTAATAGTTTTAAAACTTCTGATGTTCTTAAATGTTTAAAATCTCTTAAACCTTCCCAGAGTCTAGGCCCTGATTGTATACCTGCCACTGTCCCAGGGAAATGTGCTGATATTTTAAGTAACCCACTTACAAACATTTTCAATACTTCTTTTTCTACTAATGTTGTACGTTCTCTATGGAAAAATATTAAAATCATCCCTGTACCCAAGTCAGGTTCTGGTAATAATGCTAGGTTTAGATCTATCGCTGTTACGTCTCCTTTTTTGAAACTAATGGAGAAATTATTGTCACTAAAACTTATTCCCTCCCTAAGTTTCTCAAACGATCCAAAGCAGTTTGCTTACAAACAGGGTAAAAGTACTTTGGACGCTGCTGCTGTGTTTCATCACAACATTGTATCCTCCTTAGACAAAGGGGCCAAGTTTGTCCGTTGTACGTTCCTTGACTATACATCTGCTTTCGACTCTGTACCTGGAGGCCTATTGTTAAACAAGCTTAGCCTTACACAAACTGAGCCCTGGGCTATCAACTGGCTACACTCTTGCTTCTCTAATAGGATGCAGTACACGGTATATAATGGTGTTTCTTACTCTCCTTTGCTTACTGAAGCTGGAGTTCCTCAGGGTGCTGTTCTTTCTCCGTTTCTCTTTTCCTTCTTCTTGCATGATTTACCTCTCTCAGATGAAATCAACTTCGTCAAATATGCAGATGACCTGTCTGTATCGTTTCCCATTAAGTCTCAGTCAGACTGTCTCAAATTAAATAGCTTCCTGTTGGACATCAGTCAGTGGTCTAAACTAAATGGTCTCATGCTAAAACCCCCAAAATGCCAGACTATCGACTTCTCCCTTAGGCATAAACGAGATCTACAAACACTAGTAAGTACTCATGAAGCCTGTTGCATTGAGGAGAGTAAAATTGAAACTAAGTTTAATGCGAAATACCTCGGTCTAGTTCTATCTTCCGACCTTACTTGGTCATCTCATATCCTAACGATTTCTAAGAAAGTGTTCTGTCTAACCTACTACATTAAGAAACGTAGACAATCTGGAATCACCCAACCTCTACTTTCACAATTTGTCAACTCTTGTACCTTATCTATTCTACTTTACTGCTCCCCGTTAATCTTTCCTGGGCTACTGAAAAAGGACAACACCATCCTCAGAAGGATGTTGAAGGTAGTTAGTAGAACTAGTGGTGTAAAACTCAGTCAGCTCGTCACTACATTAGTTGATAGGCATCTGAATACATGCGAAAAATGGTCTAAAACCATACTTTCCGACCCCCAACACCCCCTCTATTCCCAACTCTCACCTTGTATCTCATCACGTAGAACCAGAAATCAGTATAAAATAATCTATGCTCGTACAACCAAGTACAGGAACTCAACGATACCATACTTGGCTCGTGTTCTAAGTGACAGAGACAATGTCAAGCGCGAAACCTATGACTTGCTTTGTTGTTAATAATCATAATTTTAGGCTCTTTGATTTCTCTCTTATTTTGTATTCTATAGTGAACTCCTTCTTAAACATACTTAGCTACCTAAATTATTAACATTGGCTTACTTTTTTTGTACTTTACTCTATTCCTTCTTTTGTGTATCTCCTGGTCCTGACTATATTAGCACTATGAGTATTACAAAATTGTCCTGTCATTAACCATCATGTAATTATTGGTTTTTGTGGTTGTGGTTGTTTTTTTTTGTTCGGCAATATTAACTGACAATCGTTGGTTGTGAACACCATTACCATCGTCTCAAAATTTTGTATTATGTAGGATTACTCACACTACCACTACAAACACTGTATTAGACCTGACAATAAAAAACAAAACAACAACCCTGCAATATTATTTTATGATTGTTTAATGTTGTTTCAACCTAATTAACTGACCGTCTTGGCGATAAATATTCTTAAATATCATTTCATAACTTCTTGTATGACTGTAGCTTTACTGTCACCATGCATAATCATATCACAGCTTCCACTACCCAATACTGAGTTATTATTATATGCTGTTTATTCTCCTTTCTACTTCTTGGTATTTTTTTCACATTTTTAAAATTTTCTTTTGTGTTTTTTTGCTGTTGTTTTCTTTATATTTATTTTTTTCAAATACTCCTTTTAGATGTTTGTAAAATTAGATGCAAATATTGTAGATATATTCTGAAAATTCCACACTGTACCACTAGTAGTGTTTCTGGAATGAAGCAAATTATTATTATTAGTAGTAGTAGTAAAAATGAGTAGTATAGGAAGAAAAATTATCCGTAAATTACATATTTTACCCTTTAAAACTGTCATTCAACTTTCATTTCTATTTACATTAATTAATTATATACAGATGGAACAGAATACTGTACAATATCAACTTCAGATAGTCTACGAGAAGCTATTGTTACAATGATCTACGATCGTGAGGATAAAACACCCTTGTTATTCGCTTCACCTGTATTTCAGTTAACCGAAACTAAACTGCCTTCCTTCTATGGTGGATGTAGACCAGAAAATCTACCGAAAGATTTCAGAGATCGTGCCGCTAAAGCAGAATTCTCTAAAGATACTGATTATACACAACCGGAATTTCCTATTGCTCTGCAAATGATATGCAGTGTGTGCAAGACGAAAGATTGGCAAGGTGATCGATATACATGTGTCATCTGTCCACGAATTGTATTATGCCCTACCTGCTTTAAAAATAATAAACACTCACAACATCCTGTACTGATTACTAGACGGAATACTGAATTCCCTTGTCAGGTATTACAAGCAGTGAAAATTTTAGCTTCTGATGTCAACGTGGAGGATTCCGAAGATTCTGCTGTGGAAGAGGAAGAAGAAGAAGATGGAGAAGGAGGTGAAGAAGTAGAAGTAGTAGAAGAAGAAGAAGATAATGACACTGAAGAACGGTGGAATACATCCACTTCGAGAACATCATCATCATCCGTTGTCACAGACGCCTCTGGCGAAGTCTATAAAGTGTTGTTTACACTTCGTGAGATGGGTTTTAAGCAAAGGAGTAGTGAATTGACTGAATTAATTTTGAAAGAGCGCGGTAATTTACAGACAATAGTTGAAAAGTTAACAGATTGAAAGCAGAATCTCACAGATATCTACAATGACACAAAAAAAAACAATTTTCTTTTTCACTCCTTTTTTCAAAAATCACTGTGTATATATAAAACGTTCTGCATAAAACTTAGTTTTGTTCTTATACTTTTGTGAAAGATAAGTTTTCCTGAAAAAAGTTTAGAATAACTAGTGTGTTTTATTTTTCCTGACATTTTTCAACTACTCATAAGTAGATTAAAGCACAATTACAAAAGTATTTGCACATTTCGATAAAGAAAGGAAAACGTAATTTGCAGTATAAAATGATATCATTCTATTTCACAGGTTCTCATCAGCTGCACACCACTACCTGAAATTACAATGGTTATATAAATGATAATTACATACTTTAATCTTTGAGTGATAGTAGAGAAGAGATACCATAAAAGTGACGCATCCAAAAACCAAAGGCGGTTACAGTTTATGAGATTAAAATTTGTTCAGTGAGTTGAGATCACTGAATTATATTACTAATTAATGTAATCAAAATCGAAATTCAGTTACCAAAGGAGTGAGAGGTTAATCACACTCTCTTTCTGTATGCATAAGTCTGGTTTAAGTCGTTTAATTGTGATCGCTTTGGCAAATCGTAGTAAATTTACTGTCCTTTGTCTATTTAATATTTTGAAGGACTTAGAAATCTCTACGAGATGTCCGGTATCAACAATATGTCTGGTAATTGCAGTGTGAGAATATTTGCTTCCTTCCAGGCATAGGTTTTTTGGAATATGCTCAGAAAACTGGATAGAAGCCCTTCTTTCTGTCCTTCCAATGTACTTTCTCCCTCAAGTGCACGTAAATTCATAAACGCAGTTGGAGGTGACATCAGCAGGGTATTTATCCAGTTTTGACTGGATTATAGAAGGAGTGGTGTTGTATACTGTTATGAGTTTTGCTGCCGGGAAGCTCTTATTTATTGCTCCTTTCAGTCTTCTGTCAATCTTTTGTGACACTGCATCTCCTTTGAATGGGAGACAAATAAACACTTTTTTTCTTTTCTACAGTTGGATGCTTTTCCTTCATATCTATTTCTCTGCTATACTTCTGTATAAATCCCTTAGGGTATCCATTTTCCCTCAGGCATTTCTCGACGAAATCTAGTTCTTCTTCGACGTTGTTTGGTGAACATAGCTTCCTGGCTCTGTTGTACAAAGTCCTCACTAATCCACGTTTATAGCTTATGGGACAAAAGCTGTTATAGTGAAGATATTGTCCAGTCCAGGTTTCTTTCCTAGAGATGGACTTTTCGATCATGCCTTCGTTTGTTCTTTTTACATTTAGATCCAGGAAATTGAACTCATTTTTATGTTCATATTCCATGGTGAATTTGATATTTGGATGAATCTCATTTAGGCGATCATATAATGCCAATGCGTGATCCATATTTGTACGTTTAAGTTTCAATACTGCCCATTGATGTAAAAACAAATGACTCAAATGAAACATCTGAAAAGAATACTACTCTGTATAATTATTTGTTAGATGGCGAATTTTGTTAGCAAGATTTTAGAGTATAGCTGCTTCAAAATGGTCGATAGAAAGTGGTGTCAGCAAAATGCATGGTGTTTCCAGCATTTCATGTTGTGTTCAAGAGTCGTAGCCAACCCTGACAGAAATTTTCAAAAAGGTTTCAGCCTACCACTACGAAGTTTATGAAGGGGACTGAAGAAGAACTTCGCGGAGTTATAGAGAATGTTTTGGGTGGGACAGTATTGTGCAATTAATAGTGTTCTCTGAGCTGGTTGGTTTAGTTGCGGAGCTTTCGTCGTCCTTCTGGACAACATCCCCTTTCAGCGCAATATTTAGCACAAAGTGAAATTGTTTAAATCTCTTCATGGGTGATATAACTGCGTCTCCTGGTAACCATATTTACATATGTATTGACCGTTTTCTATTGACTTGGATTTTAAACTTTCTGGTCACCTGATTTACTTTTTATTAGTTGGTATATTTAGTCTATATTAACGTGTTTGTTAATTGCATTTTCGTTTGAGTACAAGGCTTCTTGGAATTCCCTGACTGCACTTTTGGTGTTTCCTCTGTCTAAGACTTTGACATTATCCCAATCAAAATGGATGACCATAATTGTCTACATGCATTGATACTAAATAATACATATCGTGTCTGATTTGTGTTCTTGGATTCTGATTCGAAGGGGACGTCCACTTTGGCCGATGTAATGCTTGTTACAGTTCATACAATTTATTATGTAAATGGTATTAATTTTGTCTCCTTTTTCTTTTGGATCTTTTGGTTTGCATCATATCGAATTAGGCCATTTGACTGGCTTGTGTGCTATATCTATATCAAACGGTTTCAGTATTCTAGCTGTTATTTCATACGATCTCCTCCATGTTACACTTGGACCAAGTTCCAGCACTCCGTTTCTCACTTGGATCCCACTTGAGAACCTAGTTCACGATGTCAGGCAACGATCTCCTCAACGTGTGTCCAATCTATTTGCATTTGCTTCGATACATCTGCTAGGCAGTGGGTTCTTCATCAATTCTTTCTCAGAGTTTCTTGTTGCTAATTCTTTCTGAACATCTGGTCTTCAGTATAGAGTCCGAGTGGGCTGCTGTTGATGAAAGTCTGAAGTTTGCTCGAAATGCTTTTAGTGACACTTCAGATCTCTGATCCGTGTTGTAGCATGGACTTGACATTAGTGTTAAAAAATATCCGGATTTTATTCTTTATGCTGAGATCGGAGCAGATTCCGACACTGACTTCAGAATAATAATGAATGTCTTTCTGCTTTGACATCCACATCTGTGCTGCTTGTAGTTGGAGTGATGCTACTTGAGTAGGTGAAAGAGGTGACATCCTTCAATTTTCTCCCATCAGCAGTGATTCATGTTGACTGTTGTCGATTAGTCATCTGCATCACCTCCATCTTCTGAATGTCCACATGAAGTACTATTTTCACTGGTTTTCATCTGTAGACCTTCAAGTTTATGTGAAATCAGATATAAATCGTCTGCAAAGAAGTCGAGATCCTATACAGTCTTGCTGTTGGCGCAACGTATTGCTGACTGCTCGCTCCCCACAGTCTGTCACATAATCAAGTTCACCACGAAAAGAAATATCACTGGTACAAGTAGTAGTCAGTCTTGTCTTATTCATGTCTTCACTGCACAGTTAAAAGTCTCTTTTTTAAACAAATTCATTCATTTAATTGAGAAGAACAAGAAGTTCAGCAAAGATGGCGATCTTTTCGGCGATTTCATTCTCAAGAGCTGTACAATCGCATTTATATAGATAAGTTTACATGGATACAATTATTATTTGTTTAATTTCACATAGTAACGAAGGTGATAACAATTTTCAACTTGATATGAAAGTTTGAAGGTACGAATATAGATTACAAGGGGCTTAGAGACAAGATTGCATAGGATTAGATAACAGTTACAACGTATGCAAAATTAATATTTGATAACTGGAGAAATAATAGTTTTAAAGGCGAATAAAAGGTGATAATTGTTTTCAACTTGATATGAATTACAAGAGGCTTAGAACGAATTACAGGCGTGAAGAAATTGAGCATGGAAACAAATTGAGATGAAAATTTTCAACTTGAAATGTAAGTTAGGAGGTGTGAATATAGATTACAAGAGGCATAGAAACAAAAAATTACACAGGATTAGAATATAATTGTAAAATGGTTATTCTAAACGGATTACAAGTGTGATCAGGAGGAGCATGGGAACAAACTTAAAATAACTGATTTTATAACTGAAAAAATAGGATGAATTGAATGAAGGTAAAGAGAGAAAATTACACACACAGAGAACAAAACACAAAAAACTGAAGGATAAGGGAACATACCGAACTAGGTCCATGGTAGTTGTAAAGGCTGGACTAGTTTCTTTTGAACACATAGCTCCGGCTTTTCGATGCATATGGCGAGAGCTTCCGCAGTACAAAGAAGTCGGAAGCACACTGTCTTTGGCAGATTTTTGTTTACTTTGTAGATGACTCTAAATGATGAGTCGGTTGAGATTCTGTGGCAGGTATTGACAAGATGTTCAGTTATTGCGCTTCTGATTGAACCAGTGCCTCCTCTTTGCAGCCATGCTGGATGATGTTCTCTAACACGTTTTGATAAGACCCGCATAGAACGACCTATGTACCTAGCTCCGCAAGAGCAGGTGAACTGATATATGCACATTGAAGTGGTCATATGCGGAAGTCTATGCTTCCCATTGCTCCGAAGTAGTGGGCGGCTAGAGAATATCACTCTTAGAGTTGCTGCCGGAAAAGTCTTCTTCAGGGATTTGGAGATTCTCCTTTTAAGGAAATCTGCTGCTAGGTCTCCCCTGAATTCCAGATTCAAATAGAGTGTCTTCTTTTGCACTGAAGTGTATTCTTCTCTTTTTGGCCTTGGTTTCATGTTCTTCTCCACGAAACGCGGTGGGTATCCATTTGAACCAGGATGCTTTTTAGGAATAGGAGCTCTTCTTCTAAACAGTCATCATTACAAATTCTTCTGGTGCGGTGGGCTAGCGAGATGATGAGAGCTCTTTTACGGCTGACAGGTATCCAACTGTAGAAGTTTGTCATTCACAGATATAAATATAATTTTTTGTGTGAATGTGTACATGGCACAAGAATAAAAATTAGTCTGTAGTGCCGTTTACCTTATCAGAATATTTTAAAGCAATAGAGAATAGTTAAAATTGTAACTGTATGGGTGTGGGGGCTGTCGAAGTTTATTACGTTTTCACTAAGGACACGCCATATGACAAATGTTCAGAAAAACTGGATTTTAAATAGAGATCATGAAAGCAAATATTAAAATAAATCATGTTATGGGTGAAGAGGAGCCTAGTTAAGAAAATTATGTTGATAAATGTCATACACTACTCTCAAGTCTGTGTGGAGGTCAACAGCACTCAGCATCAAAACGAAGATAAGATCCGGATTTTCAACTCCAATGTGAAGTCAGTCAGTGCTACTCACTATACGGATCAGAGACTTGCATTGCGCGTCATAAAGAGCATCTCAAACAAACTACAGACCTTCATTAACAGTTGTCTTCGCTCAATACCACTCAAGATCAGATGGCCGGCCGGCCAGAAAAGAT